TTAAAGCTTAACACAATCATCTCAGGTAGTGCTTTTGGCCATGTATTGCAGTGCCACTTATTTCACCAAGGAACGTATAACTTATTACTATTGAAATTGCAAATAAATATTAATTATTATAATCATACAAAGTTTCTTTATCAACAAGTGACAAAGTGAAAATAACTTTAAGTATTAATTAACAAATTACATAGAAAATTGATTTTCCAAAAAAAAATGTTTATTTACACACTGGATTGTTTGAAATTTCTCAAACGTGACAAGCCATTTCTCATCCCCTCTTCATCTTCTCTTGCCTCAATTTCCTTCTTCTCTTCGATTTCATGCGAGTCTCTAACAGTTATACTAGGCCTGGTACTCAATGGATTAAACCTGTTCCAAGGAGAGCCATTATCAGTCACCTCATAGTCCTGTATGACATCTTCTTCCTCTCTTTGCTCTGATCCACTCTCTCTCTCATCTACCTCCCCTCCATAAATGCATGGTAGGAGTTGCTGCTTGTTACAGCTTGTAAGGAAGAACACAAGCGTGTACGTGATGGAAGACAATAGTATGAAGGCTGTTATTATCCATAATCTAGTTTCTGTGTTTAGGTATATCCCACCCACGAAGCTAATTATAAATCCAATTGCGATGGAGACTTGTAGCAGACTGAGTGCAGCCTCATGCTCTTTTTCGTGAAACCACTGGCTTAGTAGTGCTATGTAAGATGAGTTGTATGAAGAAAGAGAGAAGGGAAGAGGGAGAGGGGAAGAGAGACAATAATGAAATTGTGTAAATATAGAAGGAGATACAGACAGGGTTTCCCACAAAGCATGCTAAGTGAGCTAAACAGCATGAGTTTCATGAGCTGACAAGCACTACAATACAGTACATGTCATTTGGAGCGACTTTAAAAATTTGTAAAAAATCTAATTTGATTGGAATCACTCAAACTTTCTATACTGTTAACATTAAAACATGTATATATATATATATAAATTGTAAAAAATGAAGAATACTCTCCTTTACATTTTTGGCAAAATTTGGCAAAATTTGGCAAAAGTCCCTGTACTATAGTACAGGGTCTTTGACCTCATTCTTTGATCAACTTTAAAAATTTGTAAAAATTTAATTTTGATCAGAGACAACCTTAAAAGCTTTACGCAATATTTTGGAACATGTATATGCATCAAAAAATTATTAAAATGGAGAATTCTCTCCTTTTCACTTTTCGCAAAATTTAGCCAAAGTCCCTGTACTAGGGTCTTTGACCAGATTTTTGAGCAACTGACAAAAAGCTGTGCACTATGGATAAATCTTGTGGGAAACCCTGCATACGAATCTATGAAATGGTGCATATACATGTACATGATTAAAGTATAATAATAGAAGCAAGATATGGAGACATACCATAAATCAAGGACACAAACACTTGTAAATCCTAGCCATCATAAGGCTAGAATATAATATTAAGAAACAGAAGCAAGATATGTATGGGCAAGCACAATCATCCAACAAGGACACAAACACTTGTAAATAGAAATCCTAAGGATATACTGCATTATTACCAAGAGTATCTACCCCCTTATCTACTCTTATTACTAATGAAAGTAAACACAAGCGGAATGTGTATGGGTAAGCACCATCATCCAAGGAAACAAATACTTGTAAACAGACACCTTGTCTGGTTTACACATGGCTAGTTAACATTTTAGGAGCTACAGTATACTAGTATAGGCATTATGTACTCTTTGCTATTACTAGCTAATGCCTTTTAGAAATTAGTAGAACAATGTGCTTGAAATCTCTCATAACTGCCTAACCTGGAGATATTGAGTTGTAGACACTCTCGCATATTCCCCATCCGATAGGAAACCCAAAGAGAAACACAAAGTTAGGCTGTCTCTCCCAGAACAGGAGGATCATCACTAGAGCAAATGAGAGACTCAGGGCAGCATAAGCTACAACGAACTGTGGTATGAATCTAACTATGCGTCCAGTAAATACTGAAGAGAATACACCACCCACACCATACGCTGCTAGTACGAAACCAATCCACTGTATACCAACACAGTCCAATA